TACTAAGGTCTACACAAAAGGTAGGTGGCACGTGTGTTGTATCTTTTGCCATTGAGAGCCAGTGCCTTAGAACAGACCCTTTTTGCTGGAAGTTTTGTTTTTATTTTGGTCCACTTAAGGTGTCTGTGGTAAGCATATATGAGGGCACACTGTGGAGCAACAAAAACACAACAGTATAATTATATTGCTTCTGAACAGCATGTTAAGCAAATACACTCAAGGAATAGCATAATTAAATCCTTCTAAAGCATGTGTTAAAGTTCTTTGTTGAACCTATATGAGGGTCTCTATGACCCTCATTCCTCTCTTTATTGCAGTTCAAGTGAGTTACTATTTCATTTCTTAGTGGCAGAATCAGATGCTACAAGAGATACTTAAAAAGATACATTAGACCATAGAAGTCTATTCCCTATCCTTTGTCAGATAGTTGCCTCCAGTGTATTAGCAAGTTTTCTATTTAGCCTGGTTTTAAATGACTCAAGCTTTGGCAAGTCTACTACTATCAAAGACTTTCATATATCTTTTGGTTGGTTTAGTACAATAAAATAGATATAGTCAAACACAGAGAAGACGTTATAAAACTGTTCATTCTTAATACCCCAGCGATGGCTGTTTATCATATGATTATGGCTCTAGTTTAATGATCCTATCCAAGAGGCAATAATATGCAGCTTGACTTTGATTAATGTTCACCATTATTTCCTAATAGCCACACAAAGTTGTATTTTAAAGCTAAATATTGTCTTCCCCCGAATTAGCACATTTTTAATTAGGCAGATAACTTCTGTCGTGTCTATTTAAATTGTCAGTTAAATTAGATTGCTAATCCTAAATACACTTGGATGTTCCTGCAATTTCTATAAAAGGCATAGCAAACAGTTGATTGGGCAGGATCTGGTGCACTCCCCCCCCCCCCCGTTAGCCCTTCAAGGAAAAGAAAGACTCATCTTGTAGAATATCAATTGGTTCCAAGACTAGGTAGCACTAGTAGGTATAAATTAGGAGTGTGCCCCAACCACAATGTTTGGCTTAAACCCTAATACAGGGTTTGTCTCAAGGGTCTGAGTCCTCTTTCTTCCCTCTACCCTTTTCCTACTGGGAAATTTAAACATGGCTATAGCTATTTGGGGATTTTTTGACAGAAGTGGATGGAATTTGCAGGTATAGACGCCTTTTCAAAGTGAATAAAACTTGCCAAATAGGTTCAGAGGCTTTTGTGCTGGCTGTCGTTAAAGTTGGTTTGCTTTAAAAAAGAACAGAATCTATAACTTTTTAATATGGGGCAGGATTGGTTAAAATTTGACCCTTCTGAGGCATGGCTCCTCCAATTTCCAGAAGAATATTTGCAGTACTTGTCCCACAGGGGCAGCCATCACAGTTTTAGGATGGAAATTCCTTCATCTCCCCAAGTGTTCTGTAAGCAATATGCCTGTGAAAAGTGTCCTTGAGTAAGAAACCTGCCAGACTGCAGATGAATTGGTCCTGGGTCATTTGTGTGGGCATCTCCACCCCCATTGTTCAGCCCGGACACTGAGGTCCAGCTCCGAGGACCTTCTGGTAAGTAAGTAAGGTTACAGGGAACCAGGCAGAGGGCCTTCTTGGGAGTGGCCCTGCCCGGTGGTACGCCCTCCCATCAGATGTCAAGGAAATAAGCAACTATCTGACTTTTAGAAGACATCTGAAGGCAGCCCTGTTTAGGGAGTTTTTAATGTTTGATGTTTTATTGTGTTTTTAATATTCTGTTGGGAGCTGCACAGAGTGTCTGGGGAAAAATAAATTTATTATTATTATTATTATTATTATTATTATTATTATTCCTTTAAAGATGATTTTGTGGTGAGAAGAAGTAATGGGTTTGTTGTTTTTTGAGTAAAACAATTCTTTCTGATTAGTCACAGAGGAACTCTTCCTCTCAACCTTCTTCATTCCCATCCTGACATCATCCATAAACTTAGAGACATAAGATTTGCTCTTGCAAAGCTATTCCCTTCCTGAAAGCACTGGGATTGGAGAGCACTAGTCAGTAAAATTGCCTTTGATTTCACAATGTACTGATCTGTCACAAAGGACCTCTCCCTCTATACCTTTTCCCCACACTGGCATCTTCTCTCCCTTCCCTCATTATTCTATTCTGGTGTTATAGTAAGTTTAAACACAATACATTCACTTTCAGCAACTGCTTTTCTGCAGCATTTTGTATGTGTGCATGTGCCTGTGTATGTCTGGATTGATGAGGTGCCATGGAACACTTCAGGGTTCCTCCCTTTGAATTTTACCATCTCATAGAGATTCCACTTTGCCTCTGGCAAGCCCAAAATACCTCTGAGGTTTCCCATTTTGCTCCAGGATTCTTCTTACTCTGATGCGCACCCCTGCTAGCTGGATGATTGGTTTCCAGCATAGAAAGGGATAGGAAGGTATCCACTTGCATACCATCATCTCTCTCTCTCTGCTGTAATTGTATGCAACAATAATTTTAAAAGAATGTGTTGACAGTAATACACATTAATATTCCAACTTGTATTCACAAGTTCAAAAAATGCAAAACTGAAAGATATATGCTAGGGGAATTCATATTGTCGTCTTTTCTGTTTTTATAATGAGTACCATTGGGCATTAGGCAAAGCCCTTGTTTCCTAATTTGTGATGACCTGATAATCATTCTTCTCTCTTTGTTTCATTGTTTGCAATGCTGAAATTTGAAAGCAATAGGATCTGTGGGAAAGCAGTGGGCATTGCAAACCTGACTGAGCGGTTTGCTGAAGCTTCTCTTAATTAGTCCACTGCAATTAGTAATTAACCTCGTTTCATGTTTCATGTTTTTTATTATTATTAAAAAATGTTGTTATGAATACATATAATGCAATTAGCTCTTGCTAACATTTTCTATAGACAAGAAGCTAGCCTGCGTAAAATTCAAACCATTTTTGCATGTCAGTTCTTTTATTTTTCATGTATTAATACCTAGCTACATTTATAGCTGATAAATGAGTTAAGGAGTAGAGATCAGAAAGTTCTATTTCGAAATGTTAATCTTTGGAAAATTTTCATTCAACGGCTTTGGGTTTCTTTCTGACTTTTTTATTTCATGGATCTTACTCACCTACAGTCCCCCAAGGCCCAAACTCCAGCTATTTACATATGAACTTTCCTGATTTATTTAGTCTTATTTTCATTCTGCAAAGTTTGTCTCAAAACTCTGTATAAGGTATATCTCTGCCTATGTCTATATCTCTTCTAGGAACTGTGCATACTCAAGGCAACATGGGGCTGTGTAATGTACAACTAATAATTGTATTCAGTGATTTTTTTTCTGGGGGGACACAGGAGTACGCATACCCCTAAACATTTTGTAAATCTAAGTTTGGCCTCATCAAGGGACCATATTTCAATATGAGTAGGAAAATGAGAGTACCCCTAAACATTTTTTTAGGGGGAAAAGCACTGGTGGTATTATTTTATATTCATGTGTTGGCAGCATAAGCTGTAGAAGCCATTTTTTATTCTATGGTAGTCAAGTTAAAATCAAGCAAGTTTATATTGGTATTTATTGGCCATTGCTAAATGTCTCCAAAATGTAATACAGGTGTTTCAAGAAAGGAGATCCCTGTATTGCATGGGGTTGGACTAAATGACCCTTGGGGTCCTTTCCAACTTTACAGTTCTATTATTCTAATAGTATTCATGACCATTGCAATAGTGTCTGGTGTGCAAAATATTTCAAATAAAGATCCACAAATTAGGAGCTCTGTGAACATGTGTTTAACACAACACATGGTATAGATGTGTGCATAGATACACAAGTAGATCTGGTAATATTTATACTGCTCACTCAATGAGGGACGGAGCCTCTAGCTCTGATCTGTTTGTCATATCACTGTCCCTGGCAGCCCCACACATTGGAGAGCAAACATCTGAGGCAGGGAGCCAGTTGTACTAACATAGGCTCCCTACACAATTTAGAATTGGCCATAGTCAACATTGAAACTTAGCCTTACCAAAATACTTGGCGCAAATGAAGTCCTGCAGTTACTTTCAAACTTTCCTTCTACCCACTTCCATCAGTTGTCAGCATAGTTAAGGAAGCCTGGCGGAACTTTACACTACTAATAACAACAACTTTATTTTTTTAGATGCCACCCATGGCTGGCTGTAAATGTGCACAATAAATGTGCAGTTATTCTTTTTTCATATAGGTTTCTAAAAATGCAGTGTTTGATTAGAAACTCTACCCTTACAAATATTTGCATCTCCTGTAGACCAGAGTTTAGCCAACATGGTACCTCCAACCTGGCCATTGGACATGTTGGCTGGGGCTGATGGGAGTTGGAGTCCGACCACACCTGTAGAGCACCACGTTTGCCATGCCTGTTTTTGGCACTTCCTCAAATTGTTCTGGGAACTAAATGGTTTTATACACCTCTGCGATACAACAAGTAACTTTCCCATTTTAGAGAATACATTGGTACCTCCAGTTACGAACTTAATTCGTTCCAGAGGTCCGTTCTTAAGCCGAAACCATTCTTAACATGAGGTGCACTTTTGCAAATGGGGCCTGCCGCTGCTGCCGTGCCGCCGGTGCACAACTTCCGCTTGCATCCCGGGGCAAAGGTCGCAACAAAGGGGCATTTACTTCCGGGTTAGCGGATCTCGTTACCCGAAGCATTCGTAAGGAGGACAGTACATAACCCAAGGTTCCACTGTAGTTTGTGATATCATTCATTTAAATATATTTTAAAACATGGGATGCTTTGAAATCACCACTCTCTTAGTTAAGATCAGGATATACAAAAACATGTTAGGTATGGCTGAATATGTAAATTTGAAACATTGGATTCAATATGCTGACCTTCAGATTTCCAATGTTTATTTTAAATCAGATGCAGAATGATATTCCATCCCAGCTGTAGCAAGAACAAGAACTTCTTACATCTTTTCTCGATTCAGATTTCTCTGACTACAGATTTCTTATGGCAGTTCTGCTCTTTTTGTTTCCCCAGATGGAATGCCATTTGTTTGGTGGGTTGGTCGAGCCAATGAGAAACATCCTTACTGGGGAGGGTCTCCTCCTGGAGCCCAGCGCTGTGCATGTGGACTGGAGGAAAGCTGCCTGGATCTGAGATACTTCTGTAACTGTGATGCAGATAAGGACGAATGGTAACTATGGAGATTTGCCCTACACCAATAAAACAGAAGTGAATAAATTAATGTGTAGACTTATGAAAAGGGTTGTGCAAGTTTAGTAGCAATAAAAAAGGGTGGATTCTGAGCTTCCCATTTTTGGGTCTCCATTGTGATTGCTTTGAAATTGCAGTGCTGGTACTAACCCAGAAGACCTTCAGAGAGAGTTGTATGGCCTAAGGTTTCAGTACAGTATTTTTTTAGTCTGCATCCAGCTCTATATCAGTTAATTTCCAGAAGGTTGACCAAGAGCACTTTTTTTTTTTTTACCACTCTTGCATCAAACTAGGACTACAAAGGCATATACAGCATTCTTGCATTGATGGGCATTTCCAAACTATGTAGAATTTCTACCCCCAGAGGCAAGCCAAGACCTGAACACCAACATCTTCTTGGGAAAGTATATACCTTTGGGTTTGCCAGCTCTTCTGCCTGAAATGCAGATTGGTCTCCTTCACTGAAATGAATGAAGAGCTCCATGCATGGGAATGACCCTTGTGTATATACTGTATGAATGCATTCTCATTTCTGGTTTCGTGCACCTGTCTGCAGTAAATATATAATTCTCTTGAGCAAAGCAGTTCCACAAAGTATAAGTTTCTGCACATTACCTTCAGTTAAATAATTTATACAGTATTTGGTTTGGAATTTTTGGAAGGGAAGAAAGCTGAAAAACAGCACATAACATGTAGGAACTCTCCCATCTTCAAATTGTTACACTTTGAAGAATAAAAATTCTTCAGTTTTGACACCTGACCTATATTACAGAAAAATTATAATGCAGTAAGAAAATGGTAAAGTTGGGGGGAAATAGATTTTGTAGAACTGGAAAATGAATAAAAAAACCCCCACAGTTAAAATTATTTGTGATATATAGAATAGCTACATCTATCCCTTTCTTCTACCATAGAAGCTATTCTATATCACAGATAATTTTGACTGTGGTGCTTTGTTCATTGTCTATTTCTGCAATATCCCTCCCTTTTTAGTTCACCACAGATTTATGCTGCACTGGTATAATTTGCCATCTATATCAATCAGTGTCAGTTTTGCATATGTCTATTCTATCTGGCTTTCACATTAGCCTGAAATATTTTATTAAAAAAATCTGCACAAGAATATATCCCCATGTATGCGTTTTTAAATATATTTTATTCCAATGTACACATTTGCTTACAAAATCCAAGAGATAATTACAGTTTGAACTGCACATTAGTCTGGGAGGTGTTTATCAGGTCAATATGCATCAGAATGCACAGAAACTGAATTCCTCAAGCCACCCTGGCAGGATTCCTTCCTTTATAAGGGAATGAGCTCAGTGTTGCAGTGGTAGAAAGCATGGTTAAAAGTTTAATTAACAAGTCTTCCTGAAGCAGAATGACTTGTACAAAGGCATATCTTCTCTCACTACCCTATTAGACTCTTTTGAGAGTGTCAACCAGCATACTGATAGAGGTGATCCAATTGACATTGTGTACTTAAACTTTCAAAAAGCTTTTGACAATGTACCTCACCAAAGGCTCCTGAGTAAACTTAGCATACATGGATTAAGAGGAGAGGTCCTCTTATGGATCAGTGACTGGTTTAGAAACAGGAAACAGAGAGTAGGCATAAATGGATATCCAAAGATGAGCAGTGAACAAGACTGGTTCACCTTTTCCCTTTCTTTAACATTGCTTGATACAGAAATCAGCAAGAGTTCTCCTAGATGGAAAGTGCATCACAGGAATCCCTGTGGTGTCTCAGAGGATTTGAGGCATGCATATACATGTGAAGCCAGCCTTGCAAGACAGCAGACTCTCAAAGCATACCCACTGTTGGCACCAATACAAGCTTCTCTCCTGTGCAGATAAGCAGCAGTAGGTGCACAGGGGAGAGAGATCAGATCAGAAATGTAGTGGAGGCAAAATGTTAAAGCTGCCTCCCCCACAACATGGTTCTGGTCTAGGAAGAGATGTACACAGGAAGTGGTGTTATACAGAGGGATCATCCAGATGGGTGCGTGTTCTGTGCCTAGAAAGCACGGGTCTGAGTGAATTTCCACTTGTCCCATCCTTTCTAGGCATGGGTCTGAGCGGTTTTTCATTTCCCCCTGCCACTTCCCCCCAGAAAACCCACCATGTAGCGCTAAATCAGAGCAGACACCAATCCGGAGAAAAGCTGGTTGAGGTTTGCTCTGATTCAGTGGTAAAGATTGAGTTTTCCCGGGGAAGAGTGGTGCGACAAATGGAAGTATGGCCAAGCCCTGATTCCGACCATTCATTGGTTCATCTAACTCAGTATGGTCTACAATGACAATTTCTCTCTGGAGTCTCAGACAGGCTCACTTCTAGTCCTATCTGGAGGGATGCCAGGGATGGAACATGGGACTTTCTGCATGCAAGGCAGATGCCCTCCCACTCAGCTACTTCAGGAGCTCCAGCATCTGAAATTTAATTGCACAAAACAATCACTCAGTTACTAACATATCTTGTTTGGCCATATGTTTGCAAAGGACCCCTTGTCACTCTGGAAATCAAGTGAGAGCCCAGGCTCATGTCCTGCTTTTGTCACAATCATGTGTCCTTTGAATTGTGCTTCCCTAGTATGATAGAATTGATGTTCAGAATTACTATTATTTTATTAGAATGCATTCCACTACTGGTAGGGATGTTTCTGATCAGGACACTAAGGTGGGTAACAAAGTAAATAAGCAGCAATTGCATTGTTATACCAACCTGCACTGATAGACCTTTTAGTGTTTTTGTGTTCCCTTCTGTCAGATACAAGAGGGTCTTGAGCTAGAATACGAATGGGCAACCTGTGAATCACCAATGTGACTGAACTCCAACTCTGATAATCTGTGCTGGCCAGGGCTGATGGGAGTTTAAGTCAACCAACATATGGAGGATAACATGCTAGCCACCATTTGGGATTATTGAGCTTTCTAGATAAGCCTGACCTTAATGTTATTAACCTTCTAACACCACAGTTATTCCATTATTAACTATAGCATCCTGTTTACTATAATGCTTGTTGAACTTTCAGAAGCTTGCATGGCTACAGGGTGCATGGAAGAATCTCATTAAGCTATCTTCCATTGCATTTTTAATCATCTATAGTGTGCTAGTCTCAAACTTTCAGGATTTGTTTTATTGGCTTCTTTCCCATTTACATAGCTGCAGACATCTGCTGATAGTACATATTTTCCAAGTGTACTGTATCTATCACAAATTTCATTAAATATCTATGCCACTGAGCCTAGCTACCCACTAGAGGTTTCATTAATGCAAAAGAAGAAGATATACCAATAGGGGTACCATAAGGGATGAAATTATATTTAATGACACCACTACCCTACCATCTGTTGGGCAGGAGGGGAGAGACTGTGAATATCACATCTAGAGACATGACCAGTTTATAATACTGCAGGAACCTGGAATACAGAGAACGAGCTTTTCTGAATATCAACATAGAAGGAAAAAAATAGTTCTGTAAGGATGCTGCCCAACTTCTTACTTGTCATTTAATAACTCTGTTGTTGCTTATTCAGCTGCTTAATGCAAATCTGAAATAGTAGGTCGCATTTGAAAAATGTAATGAGTTCAGCCCAGTAGACTAGTTAATTTCCTTACCATTTGGATGTCTTCTGGGTGTGCATGGACAAGGTGCTGTCTGAAAGCACATGATACATTAACCTTGCTGAAACAAAGCAGGTCTATGGCAGTAAGCGACAGGAGACTGGAACAGCAGGTATGCTACCTTGAGTTATAAAGACTTTGATACACACGCAAATATCATAGAATATAGCAGAAAGGTTTCTGCTTTCTAAAACTATCTGCTTGCATTGCTGTCATTTTGGCTCTTTCCCCTCCACCGCTCCTTAGTCTGTCCCAAACCTAGCAGGGGGGACTTCCATCTGATTAATTCATACACAAATTTCATGTGCACTGTAACAACCTACTTTGTTTTCTTCTGACTTCCCAGGTGCTTAAAATAGTTGAATGGGTGTTGAACTCTCATTAGAGTGCCATGTGCAGTTTAAAACTTTGTAGATCTTATCTAAATGCCAGATGAGAGACATGCTAACATCAAATTATATGGGATAGCATTAAGGAGTATAATGTCCTCTAAGGGCCTTTTCACATAAATATTTTATTGCATAATAAATTCCAGTTTGTTTCTCATTTCCTCACCATGATCTTCACATGTTAACTCAAGGTTGCACCTCTGTTTCAGGTATATGTGTTCTTCATACTTGGTAAAGTGTGATACATATACCAGATTGAGTGTTCATTGCTATGGAGTGTGTGTGTGTGTGTGTGTGTGTGTGTGTGTGTGTGTGTATCCTGCCACTCATATCATAGGCCATGATGGTGATGGCATTTTGGATGTTTTGTTGTTTTAAAAAATAAAATTCTTGAAAGTTTTCTTTTCCACCATTTTTTAAAATTGTAGATAACCCCAGCTTGTTCCCCCCAAATGTAGCAAACTCAAACAGAAGCTCCACTCTCCCTCCTTCTGAGTTGTGGTCAAATATTTAGTAATTCATTTGTTGAAGCTTTGTTTTATGTTGTGTCATTAAAAAAACAACAACAGAAGGATGTGCATTTTCCTTTTCCCGATCTGGAGTGCACAGCACAGGTTCACTGATGCTTTCCAGCATACAAATATTTAGCTCGATGCTGGAACCAAGTAATTCTGAGCACCAGTTCTACCATACAGCACGGGGAAGCACAATTCAAAGGCCAGAATTGTGGGACATGAGTTGGCCATCTACCCTACAACAAGGGTTGCCATTTACTATATGTGGATATGTTATCACACAGAATCATCACTGAAAGGCATCACACATAATTATGATTGAAATGGATCCTCTTTGGCAATGTTTGACAGTTGCGTAGCGTGGGTGGTGCAGGGGGGGCCGGGCGCGCCGGGTGCAACATCTGGGGGTTAGGGTTAGGGGGCGCAAATCCACGGGTTAGGGGGCGCAAATTACTTGCCTTGCTCCGGGTGCTGACAACCCACGCTACGCCACTGATGTTTGAAAACCATTTGTGAGTTTGAGCTGGTGCAGGTGTTTGAAATTTACATTAAATTGGTTTCAACAGTTCAAGGTGTGGAGTTACAGAGCAATTGTGTAACACCACTGAAGTACAAGCGGCGACCATTCTGCATGAAAGTTCCATTCCTGATCCCTGAGCGTATTGGTGGAGTGTGCATAAGCCTTGCCCCATTCCACCCCATTTTCGGGCCACTTCCAGGCTGACAGCAATGAACTTGTGTGTGACTGTGCATCAATCAGACATGCATTAAATGATTGCTGCCTGCAGCATCAATTACTTGTGCCATCGTTGCTGAAATAGCACCCTGTTCCAGGCAAATGGGGAAGAGCTACTTGGTTCTCTTTTGTGATAAGGAATAGCCTTATGTATTGACCCCTTATTATATTGCATGCTGCAAATTGGTTACTGCAGATTCAGCTACCTGTTTGGAATTCTAACCCTGCCAATGGTTGTTTCAGGTTATGTGTTGCTTATTACTTCATGGTGGAATACCATGAGAGCTGGCACTGCATTTGCTTTATGATTTCTATTGCTCTATGCTGTTGCAGAGACACCATGGCTAATAGGAGCAAGCCACTAAAGAGTACTTCTAGCCTTACATTTACACAGACTAGAGTCATCTACAGTGGTTTTGCTTGGGATCCTGAAACATCTCCAGGGAACCAAAAATGGGGCATTTATACAGAATTCCCATATCCAATTTCTACTCTGGTTCATCAGACTGTTTGCAAAAATAAAAATAAAAATGGAGGTGGAGGGAGAAGTGAGTAGATGTCAGATGTCAGACATTTTAACTGCTTATCCATGTGTTAATTAGCTATTACATGCATTTTATCTACATACACTTCAAATCCACTGGACATGCTTTTAGAAATCAAAGTAATAATTAAACAACTATTTCAGTTTTTATTCATATGCCTTTTTATATATACATATATATATCCAGGACCAATGATACTGGCTTCCTTTCCTTCAAAGAACACTTGCCTGTGAACCAGATTGTTGTCACCGACACAAATAGACCTAATTCTGAAGCTGTGTGGAGAATTGGCCCTTTGCGTTGCTATGGAGATAGTGAGTACGAGCCCTTTTCAGTATCCATTTCCTGGCTGCACAAGACCTATGTGTGATTCCTTTGAATATAAATTCCACTTTAAAAAACCAGACTCTTAAAAATAATACCACTGTCCGGCTTGTTTAAAGGCACGTGTTGGATCATTTTAAAAGAAACTTCTTGTTAGTACTTTTTTAAAAAAAGTTGGGGTTTGTGTAGAAGTTTGTGTGTGGCATATACAGTATATTACTTGTGCATCCGTTGGATGATATCCAACATAACATTAAGACAAGAACTTGGAGAGCTGACATTGTGGCAGGTGATTGCGTGCCAAGTTATACCTGTCACTGTGTATAATGATAACAGTAGCCATGTAGCATCTTCAGCAAAATGAAAGAGACCCAATGCCTTCAGCTGTTGTGCTCCACTAAGAACAGGCTCCTGCTAGCACAATGGCTATTATATAAGTAGACCCCCAAAACTGGGTATCATCCATAGCTTTTCATTTTTCTGTGTATTTTGTGTTTTTTTTCCTTTAGTACAGCTGGCTTCATTTCTGTAGGCTATGCCTTTTTATGATGAGCTAAAAGGATGCGCCTTTGGGTTGTTGTTGTTGCATCCACTATCTGCTTACGGTTAACTATAGAGAAGGTTGTTGCTATTTGCAGGACAGTTCTGGAACGCAGCCTCTTTCAACACTGAGGCATCCTACCTTCTGTTCCCCACCTTCCACGCAGAATTCAGTGCAGACATTTCCTTCTTCTTCAAGACGACAGCTGTGTCCGGGGTCTTCTTGGAAAATCTTGGGATGAAAGACTTTATCCGAGTTGAAATAAGCTGTGAGTGTGTACTCTGATATCATGATACAATATTCATACTAACCATCAGAGAATGGGTGTGTACAATTGCCCATTTGTTTAATATTTCTAGTGAGTTATTTTCTTGGCTTGGGAACTGATGTCTGATATTGCGGGTTTACATCCTTTTATATATTGAATTATATTTTAATTTGCAATTGAATACATTGCATTCTTTTTTTAAAAAAATGTAGGAAATACAGTAAGGTGTGTTTAACAACAACAACAAATATGGTGGTGGTGGTATTTTAGAGATTGGAATTAGGTTTTCAAAACTGCAGAGGTCCAGACTCTAGGAGAAATGTTCTAAGGACTGGGTGGGATAAGCAAGAATTGAAAATGATTTCAGTTTTACAGCTGGCAGCACCTTGAGAACTGATCATTCTTCTGGCTGGCTGTCAAATATTATTTATTTGTTATTTCATTGTTGCATATGTACCCCTTCTTTCCAGCAAATGGTGCTCAAGGTAACTAACAGCGGTAAAGAAAAAGCAATAAAATGATAGTAAAATACAACAAAATAGCAATGCAAAATGAAGTAAAAAGTATAATAATTGCAGGCAATTAAAAATCTCATTAATAGGAGCAGGGGGCAAGCAGCTGCATGTAAAGTTCTCTGTGTTACAAAATGGATTTTGTTTGTTTGTTATAATTGCTTATAATTTCACCATTAGACAAAGAAGCAGAATGAACACACACTAGTATGAGTATGCATAATCTTATTCATGTGTACTAAAGCATCACTAGAGAATAGGTAAAAACTGGTCACATATGAACACGTTTCATGGTGGACTATGGGACAATCGCTTGAACAAGGCCTCCTTTCGGACACAGTTACCCTTAACTGCCTCTCTGCACACAATAACTGGGGCATTTGGACCAGATGGGCCACTGGTCCAGCAAATGAATTTTATGTTGTCGTGGCATTATTAGTAAAATACCGGGAGGAAAGTATGTCATATATGATGTACTGGCAAAGTAGCTCACATACGAGATCAAGGCATCAGTTATAGCAGTAGCAGGAGGGGGCTTCTCAGAAACTTCCTTATGTAGTCATTTTAAAAGTGTGTAGATGCTCTTTCACTCTCTCTGTATGTGTGTGTGCAATGCTTCAATTCTCCATAGTCAAGGGAAGAAAAAAATCCTCAGCTCAGTTATCAGTTGCTTGTCTCTCTTGGTATTGGATGGTTTTGGCCAATGACAAACAGTACTTATGCAATATGCCTTTGGAAAGTAGTTGGCATGCAAATGAACATGAAGTGAGAGGGATCCAAAACACACAGACGGTCATAATGGTTCTTTTTGTCACTTGTCAATCAAAAAGCCTCACTCAGGGACTGACTTGCAATTACTGCCCAGCGCGTTAAAAAGAGAAAAATACCTTATTGGTAGTTTTACCTTATCTTATATTCTGCTGGTTTAGCCTATTAATGGAAATGGATGTGGGGGGAACAGTGTTGTGACTTTGGAGTGCAATAAGGCGATTCTGTTCCAAATTCCATCAGGCTGAACAAACGTGGAATGAAGTGCCATCATTCCATAATATGGTTATAATAACTTCAACATAAAATTTAATAAAATAAGGCCCCCAAGGCCTTTTGATTCATTAAACCCATGGTAAATGCCGAGGTGCATTATCACTAGGTAATGAGGTATGCTTTAGTGTTAATTGCACATCAAAGTCCTATTTGGTTGATACTTCATTGTGCTATATTTCATTCTCAAGGGCCTTTTTTTTTTTTACAAAAAATGCAAGGCTTTGACATAAAACGATGTCAAAATAATGTAATCCATCAATATTATAGTTTAGCATGCACTTCGATGAAAGAATAACGAATCAGCTGGTGTAAAATGTGGGCAAATATGGAACCAGTGATTTCATTAGAAGATAGACTGCCAGCGTCTTTGAGCTAATAAATATTGCAGCTGAATAGCCATATTTGGTGTGTAGTCCCCAGATCAGCTGCTGAGGGTTCAAGTATACACCCTGAACCAATTCAGAGTTAGACATGCCTCTGCTTATTAAAATCCATGGCTTAAATCCTAGCTGTTCACATTAATGGTCTGGAGTTTTCCTGCCTCCCTCTTCCTTCTTCAATCTCTTTTCTGTCCATCTCCCCATCTGCTGCTAGGGAGACTCTTGGAAATTAGGTGGGATATGGTGTGTGGAGCTGCACCAGGAGGGCAAGTTGATGGAAGGCCTCTCCCATTTATATGAACAGAGGAGCCAATTACTGCAGAGACGGTGCTTTAACAGAGGTAGCCATGCCAGGACTCATGGCTCAGTCTTATCCCAATAACTGATAATGAGGCCATGCTGAGACTAATTTGGGTTCCCTGACCGAACTCACTCCAGGCTCTCCCATAAAGGAAGTATGTCAGAGGGAGGTTATTGTTTCTGGGAGGGGGTAGTAGGCTTGGCTCAGCTTTGCTTTCTGAGCCTGCTGTGCCTATCCATTTTTGGACAGGGTTACAGCTGACTTCTGCTGCCACGCTGCCTGCTCAACCCCTATTCACTCAGCACTGGATTTGATTGTACCCCCAAATCTGATGCTGATGAGACCTACATCCCAGGCCCTGATCCTGCAGACATGGTTCACACACCAGATGACTCACTGCAGACAACCCAGAAAAGATGTGAGTGGTGCTAACAAGTGTTCCCAAATGGGAGCAGACCTAGTTTAATAAGAATACAAAAGAAATCCTGAGGCACTTCAAGCAAGTTTATGTTTTATCAAGAGATGTGTGAGAAGAGCATTGTTGTCGTTCTCAGTTCTTTTAGTTTCTTTTATTTCTGTAGCTAAGTTTTTTTTCTATGAGCCATATGTTCCAGCTTTATTTTGTGGAATAAATCTTTTGAGGAGCACATCTTCTCTTAACTAACTTGTAAGATTCTCTGCTTTGGCTTGGAATACAAAGTTTCTATAACCTCCTTTCATTCTGTTCAGAAAAAGCTGGGTTGTGCAGGTTCAAGCATCCACCAGTGATTTAATAAGCAGAATAATTCATGTATTGATTATACCTCTTTAAAAAAAAATCCCTAAATTTATTTCACTTCTTTTTAAGGGTGAGAACCCACTGAGTTTATTTTAAAAAGGATGTATATTTTTAAAGAGGTATATTTTAAAGATGAAAATTTAAGTGTGACATTTTAAGTGGTTAGTGTTTTAGCAGATTTGAATGCATCTTAGACCTTCACACTGTTTGAAAGATTGCAAATATTCAATAATTTATTTTTCCACATCCCTAGCTAATATATATTAGCACACTATTAATAATTCTAAAAATATAAATTTTAGTTTGACATTAATATGAAATGACAATCAATTGCAAAAATCTAGGGCATCTAAAATGCTTGCTTTTATTGCTGCAAAAACTTCCTCCCTTTCAATATTTTTTTTGTGGGAAGATAGGAAGCACAACATCACTCTGAACTGACTATATGATGTCATTGCATAGAGAAGGCAAAATAGCTATGTTGCTGTTCTTGCAAAAGTCAATTCAGAGTGAGGCCAATGTCTCCTGCCCTTGTTCTGAATTGCTTGCATCATATCTCATAACTGAGTTTGAACAGCTGCATACCACAGTGACATCATCAAATACTGAATATATTGAGTCAGAGTCATAATGCCATCTAGCCAATTATTGTCTACCATGATTGGAGGTGAATCTCTAGGACCACAGAGAATGGCATTTCCTACTCCTGTTTCCAGAGCTCATTTAGCCAGAGAGGTCAGTGATTGAACTTGGGGCTTTCTACATTCAGACCATGTGCTCTGCTACTAAGCTATCAACCCATTCCATTTATTACTCAGGAAAGAAGGACCATGCTGGAAAGAAAAGTGGGTGGTAACAAAATGCCCCAAATTAGCTCTAGAGAAGGGAAGTAAGTACTTTAGACACTGGGGAAAATGCAAGAGTAGACTCTGTGCAATGAGTTTCAGGAAATAATTTGGACCCCTGAAAACCAACTGCTTTTTATATACATTAAATGATGATTGAGTGGCCATTAAGACTAGCCTCCTTCACATTCTTTCTGCTCCCACTCTATAGCTATGCTTATTCATGATATCACCTGATTTTCATCTTGCTTTTTTTTCAACCCAAGAACAATCTGGAAGCAGTAGCATCTATGCTAGATTTAATTGTGGGCCTCCAAATCTTTGTGAGGCTTCACCCTCCCTCCCTCCCTCCCTCCCTCCCTCTCATAGCCCTTATGGTTACTCTTCCATCCAATATTTGTTCCTACAGTAGTGACTGTGCACCATGTGCACCAATTAATAACACAGAGAGATGAGCAGCAACACAGTACATTAAAATTCATGAAATGCAAATAGTTTACCAGTGATCTGATTTATAAGCAAGGCTTCTATAATGGAGAGCGGAAGCGAACCATATCATGTGGTTGTTTATTTGCAAACAACCACCACCACCACCAACCAGCCAACCAAAATCAATTAATGGTCCTGTGATTCATTCCACACAGCAGAAAGTCACATCGTTCACCTTATTATTTCCAGCTCCTAAGGAGATTACCTTCACAGTAGATGTTGGAAATGGTCCAGTAGATGTCACCGTCCAGTCTCCTGCAGCCCTGAATGACAACCAGTGGCATTATGTACATGCTGAACGGAATCTCAAGGAAACGTCTCTTCGGGTGGATGACTTTCCAAAGAAGATTCTGGAGGCCCCAGCTGAAGGACATTTCCGATTGCAGCTCAATAGTCAGCTATTTGTAGGTAGGGACAGTTAAGTGATGTTTATAGATGCTTTCTTCCCGTTTCTACACCCGCAAAAAAACTAACTAACTCATATCACACCATCCAAAAGGAAGTTCCTAATCCCCAAAATGCCCAGTAACACTCACTACAGTTTCCTCACATTTTCTGCCCTGTGCAAACACCTGGTTTACCCTTCCATAAATACATCTCTGAGGACAGGATGGTCCTTCCAACTCTGTTTGGATTTTTCAGGAGCAGAGTGGTTGGATACGATGTGTGTCCATAATTTTCAAATAGTTCTAAATAGATTAGATGGATGATTTGCTTCTCCTACCATGATTTGCTTCTGACAAACATTATTTGCAATTGTCTAAGCTTCTTATCAGAACAGGAAATGGGATAAGTTACAGATATCACTTGACCAGTGAGTAGCCTTTCACACCCTTTCACAATTATTGGAATAGAAGCATTTCCAGTGCTGGGCAGAAATGTATCTATGCTTACAAAATGAACATTGCCTTGACTATTAGGGCTATACAGAGCTCTGCAAGTGAAGTCTTTGCTCATCTGCTACCTTAGATCACCTATGGTAAAGATTAAGCTAAGGGCTTTGAAATAGCAAAGCATACATTGATTTATGATGGCAACGTGAGCTGGACTACCCCCCACCCCGCCAATCACCACCCAGTGTTACGACTTAATGAAACAGAGATCATAAGAAAGTCACTTCAATATCTCAAAATTTAGCATGCAAAGGAGACTGTAATTAGCTCTGGGTATAACATGAGTACTATAAAATCCTTATTACAGGTATTTTAGGCTTCCCAGGTCACATTTTTCAGACACTGTAGAGACTTGCAAGAATACTTGCTTTTAATTTGGAATGTATGAAACAGTTCTAAGATTTCATGAACAAATATATTCAGCCCCCACGTTAGGTTTAACAAGTCTCCACTTTTGCTGCCCCTGCAGCTTGGACTCTCACCAGACTGCTGAAAGGGAAGCCCATTAGATATATGAGGCCAAGATTGCATGTGTCCTTCACCCTCCATAAGGCTGAGTGTTCATGCACATCAATATGGCATCACTGGACATCATATTTTACAGTCTTTGGCTTCTCACAGCACCTTTTTAGAAAACATTTAATAAGGGCTTTGCTTTAGTAAAGGGTTGGTGTTTGAAATAAAAGCATGGTGTGTTTTATGTCTCCTTTGTACTAGGAGCAACTGCTTCCAGACAGAAGGGCTTTGTGGGGTGTATTCGTTCTCTTCACCTAAATGGGCAGAAACTTGATCTTGAAGAGAGGGCCAAAGTCACCCCTGGTGTGAAACCTGGATGCCCTGGGCATTGCAGCAGTTATGGTAACCTTTGCCAAAATGGAGGTAAATGTGTGGAGAAGTTAAATGGCTACCTGTGTGACTGCACCAGCTCTCCATACGAAGGACCATTCTGCAGAGAAGGTATGGCTGTGTAGCAGGTTCTTATATTTCCCCCCATGAAGTGAAAGTTGATCAGAATTCATTATACAAAGAAATTGGATGGGAACTATTACTGCACTGTGGGGAAATGCTGATTTTTAATGTCACTTTCCACTGATTAAAACCTCTTGGCAAATTTTGTATAATTAAGTTTTTTCCCATTTAATTTTTAGTTTTGGAATAGTTAAATAGAACTCACTTGGAATCAAGAAGCTCAAAATGCAGAGGCATCCATTTTAAGAAGGTGTCTTTGGAATTTAGAACCAATATTGGGGGGAAAGGAGGAGTGTTAATTGTCTCCTGCTCAAGAATGTAACTGTTATTTTTATTCCAATACTATGTCAACAGGTAATCTGAGAATGGTCAAGACCAGGGCTGACATGGTAATCTGAATTTCTAGGTGTTGTGGGGTCATAGAGAGTGGGGTGGGGACCCCCCCCCCAAAAAAAATATTGGATAGGAAGATAGTCATTTAGCTGGTGGGTGACAAATATGAGGCAGAAGAATGCTTGCAGTTTGATTGGCCTTGTGGTCGTTCCATCTCTCCCCCACTGCCTTTATTTTAGCATAAAAAGAATGTTGCTGAAATGAGCAGTCTAATGTTTCTTACAAATAGTACTGAGAACTTTATGATGGCATAGCGTGCTTCCCAGTAGCACTGTGTTGGGGGGAAAAAGATGGCTGCTCCATGGCTATTTGTTGATCATTTGCTCCTATCTCTATGTACTCATATACTGAGATAGCCATCTGACACTCTACCTTATACTATAATGTTGTATTATGACTATTGTTGCTTTTTGGGGGTGGAGGTTTTGGTCTGAGTTCATTGAATTGCACTTTACCATGAGATTGTAAGCAGTCCTTGGAATGCCACTGTGGTGCTGAATGTATGGAGGTTCTAGATCTAAATAAATGCATACACTTGCCCCATGACATTTAAAGGGGAAGTTTTGCCCCTTGCCTCCTTCCTCAGATGCATAGTAGGTTTGCAGGACAACAGTATATAATTAAATTCCAGAGTCCCAAAGTGGATTAGAGGAAGCTGCACAGGCTGTTGCAATCAGCCTAGAATTTCAGACCTGGGTCACACATGAATTATTTGGGACGTGCAAAATCCCATATTTCATTGAAGTCGCAGCTTCGGCAGAACATTCCATCAAGCTCTAATTATTTGCCAAGCTCAAATAGGACAACTCTGTGAGTCAGAGATTCATCTTATCATTCACCTTGGGAGCAGCCTAGGAAATCAATATTCAGCAGTCAGGCAATTGTGAGTAAAATGAGATAGGAAAAGACATGGAATGGTTTTCATGGGACTGAAGACAATGGCCTCTTAGCCATTTCTCAACAGATGTTTCCTATACAAAAGGAGAGAAAAGAACACATATTTTAGATGAAAAGCTCTTTGGGGAATGTCCTGATAATCCCCCGTAATCTTATTCTATCTTAAAATCACAGCCGGGATCCGTTTGAACATTTCCGTATTAGTTGCTACTCTTGCATTACAAATGCCTGGCCAATAGGCAGGGGAACAGAACCTACCTGCTGTAAAACTGGCAGCGTCCCAATGAAGTCAGTGGAGCTTGGTCTGATTAAAATTGCTGGAAGTGCATCAAATAAAATACTCAGGATGTGCCTGAAGAAGGGACAATGAAAACAACATGTTTGTGTTAGCAGAAATTTGTTTCATAGATTTAAAATTTAAAGAAGCCTGTAATCAGAAGTCAACAAAGAACCATTTATTGGAATTACTCACATTAATACATATTTTCTTAACTTTCCAGATATTGCTGGAATTTGAAATGCATGACTCAGGATAGGTAGGGACTCAGATGGTAAAAGGCACACAAAGATAACTTACGTTGCTGCTTTCACTGTTGTAGTGAATATATCATGCTGCCCTTTAATTATTTGAAATTTTGCTGCTCATTCTTAGCCATATGAAAAATGATGCACTGGAGGTAATCTTTCCATAAGCTTTTACTGCAAAGCACTGCCATCTGGGATTTAGTCCTAATTCAAGAACCTACTGGTCCACTTGACTCTTTCTTCTTCTTCTTCTTCTTCTTCTTCTTCTTCTTCTTCTTCTTCTTCTTCTTCTTCTTCTTCTTCTATCTCATCCATGCATGCCCTCCACCATTCTCCCCATTCTTTACTCCAGACTGGTCCCTGACCATCTATGCAGCCCATGATGCAACAGCAGATCAGTGAAGATGCCCTGCATGTTCACTATAATGCTTCATTTTGGCCCAGTTGCCTGGTGTCATACTGTATCTTCCTTAGGGAGAGACATATTTTAAGCATCTTGTTTGACATTTAAATACCAAAGGACAAAAATCCACCAACAGCATAGAAATCAATATGACTAACCTGATCCAAAACACCCACCCGCCCCACTCACATATGAAAACAAAGACCACCACAGCCAACCACAAATGAACAGCCACACCCTAGGCCAACCCCAACCTCTCTCACCACCAAAGGAACACAAGTGAACAGCAGAGAACCTGCACAAGCAATGCTGACACAAAACCCCACATATATTAAGTAAAATAGAAACATTGCCACCCGACCCCACCCCCACTCATCTTCCCCCCTCCACCTCTTTCCCCCTTTTCTTCCTAATGTCTCGACAAATGAAACCAATTTGTTTTTTAAAAAATGTTACATGGAGGGAAAAATCCGAGGGAGACATTGCACATACCTTTGTACATCAAGAAAATCTTTAATAGAAATACACTAAATCGTTTAAAAAAATACCAACTATAAAATAAAGAAAGCTTCCATAAAGACTCATCTATAGGCTGACTCCAGAAATGACCTGTAGTTGGCTCTTACAGTTCTGCCTATATTGTGTTCTCGTCTTACTGTAGATAAGCAAAAATGTACAGTGTGCGCACACATGCAAACAGGCTTGAGACAGCAAGCAGATATTTATGGCTGAATGTTCCACATTTCCAACGATTTCCAATCTAGTATTCTGAGTCAGACTCTTTCCAGATGCTTTCCTTTTAAATATCTGTTGCATATCCTGCTTATGGGGTCCCCTTAGCTATCTGGTTGATTACTGTTGGAATCAGAAGGCTGGACCAACTTGTGTCTGATCCAGCAGGGCTTGTCTTATGTTCTCTTGCTTTTTCTTTGTATTTTTAGAGGTCTCTGCACTTTTTGAAGCTGGCACTTCCATTACCTACATTTTCCAGGAGCCTTATCCTGTGACCAAAAATGCAAGTACAACATCCTCAGCCATATATGCAGATACTTCGACATCGAAAGAAAACATTGCCTTTACGTTCCTGACAACACATGCTCCAAGCCTCCTGTTCTACATCAATGCTTCCTCTCATGACTATTTGGCTGTTATTCTTTCCAAGAATGGTAAGTGAGAGTGCAAAGCTAAAGGTCCCTTGGCAGTTCAGCTGCATAAGAAGTTTCTAAGGCTACAGTAGTGAAATGGTGGGTGTGGGTGTGCATGTGCTTAGTTTGTAGGGCTACTGCCATCTGCTGTCAAAAATGTTCATTCTTTGACTGATCAGTTTTACTTTTCACCTCTTCAGCACCACACAATATGCTCAGACATGGAGCTTTAAGGTCATGCGTGGAAAGCAGGGAGGAAAGTTAAATGTGGATAAGCCCCATGTGTAACAAGGGCTAAAATTAAATGCCCTATTTGCATGAGTATTAGCATAGATCTTGGGTCTCCCCCCCCCCCAGTGCTTAGAAACCACCACTGCCATGTTTGAATATTTCATTTTTAGATGGGAGAATATGCAGCCTTGAAAAGGGCATTTAAATTATTGTTATTTTTAATGATGGCTGTGAAGTAGCATTGAATGGAAAAAATTGTCATCATAACAAAGTAGCAGTGGTGCCCTCTCCCCATGTGAGCAATGTAGAGCAGAAGGGAGAGAAAATCTGAATGCTCACATGTGACATGAACTAATTAGAATAGGAAATGTTTTGTTTGAAGAGATGGCAGCCTATTACTTCCTTTTGGGCTCTTCGGGTAATTTTGCCGTGTAAACGTTCACTAGAATTTTATTTGTGAAGCCTGCAAAACGTCAGGCAAGACTTTGTATCAGTAATTGGGTCCTTTGAATCAGTAAAATTCAACATATCCAGCCTATCCAGCAAATAAGCACTTCCACTTGTCTTAAAACACACACTCTCACACTCACAACTATTTCAGAGTCACTTTTAGAGGATGTATCATGGAGTAGGTTGCATTTGTTGGCATAGGAAGGGGTGTGTGGGGTGTGTGGACCGCCCTGGCTGTCATCACTGAGGAGGGTGACCGCGGGGCCTCGCCTGCAGTGTGCCTCAGCCACACATCTCTCCTGGGGAGTGACGCGGTGGCTCGGGCTCCTGCAGGCTCCGCACTGCCCAAAACAGCAACGTGGGGCTCACGGACTCTGTGGAGATTCTGCGCAGCATGCTCTGCCCTGGTTTGCCCCACCCCATGGGTGGCTTGCCCTGCCCCTGAGTGCAGGGCTTTTGCACCACCCCGGGTGCTCAAGCAGCTAGCTACACCACTGGTTGCATTGCCAACATTTCTTTCCCAACTGTCTGTAATTTCCTCATGGCTTTGTCAGTTCTAACTTTGCTCCATTTTCCCCCTCTTAGTCTCATTGAAAGGGAATTTATTTAAATTTAAAGCAGCCTTCTGATGTGCCGCTTTCCCTTATGCTGCCAGTTTATGCTTGCTGTTATAACACAAAGCAGACTATGAATAGTAATGCATATACACTAGTGGTAAAGGTGATAATGAAAGGTATTACTAGTTCCTTTGGGATGTTTTCAGAAGATTGCAATGTTCCATGGAAACAACATGTTTTGCCCTCATTGGAAATTGCCTTGTTTCTTTGCCAGAGTGGTAAATGGAGGTGCATAGTTAAAAGTAGGTAGCTTTTGTTGGTTGGCAATTAAGAACCTTACAAACTCCTTTCCCTGAGAAAGCTGTATATTACAGCTGCACTGGTTTCCCTTATATACATCCAGCAGTAGCCCATTCTCATGTTATAGAATTGTTGGAGGGATAATATGGAATGGTCTTGGTGCATTGTATAGTATAGTATGGCATGGTGAGTGTGTGTGAAAGAGATGGAGAGAGAGAGAGAGAGAGAGAGAGAGAGAGAGAGAAATGAGAGAATAAGCAGTGGAGAGAGTGAGCACAGAGTATTTGGAGAGAAAAAGAAATGGGAGAAGGAGGTTAAAGCTGAGATTTCCCAGTGTAGCCCTGCAAACTATAGTCCCTCTGTCAGACTAAGCATCCTGCGTCATCTCAATAGGTTGTCAGCAGTGTTTGCAGTCCAAACATGAAACTCCCATTTTCATGTGCAGTTGAAGCAAGCACAACCAAAATGTGACCCATCCAGTAAAAATACTGCATAGATAGCATTAAGATTGCAGGTTTGATCCCTTTTTGGGACAGCTGCATATTCTGGCATTGCAAGGGATCCTCAGGGTCCCTTTCAACTCTACAATTCTACGATTCTATGAAAACTTGAACTTAAGCAAGTACTGGAGGCATTTAAATAAATGTTATTCCAATGAACATAGCCAAAGCCCCAAATGAGAAAATAATCTCTATTAATTTGAAAAGGATGTTGGGGGGGGGGAGGCAACTTAAAATAAATATTGGCAAACTCACATAAACACACACACACACACACAAACATGCATACATTAAAATGTGTGCACTGCATCACCTTCCTGCTTGCCATTTTAATTAGATCTCCACAATTTTATTTACTTGTTCAAATATATTTCACCTCTTTCTGAAAGCTCCAGTTGCGTAACTACCTATATTTAAATTCAATTAAAAATATTGAATAGAGAAGTTAAAAGATCACATTCCCAGCCCCATCCGTCTTTGGATAGGAATGTATATCCTTATTTGTTCTCTGAGCGCACTGTAGTACACACATACACTTGCTGCTAATAAGTCTTTGGATGAGGGCCAATTCATTGAGACAACTGCTTATTAGCTAAAGCCAAGTCTCTTTAAAGAATAAGGTCTGCACTGGCCATGGGAAATATTGCTGAATATTAGTCATGATCTGGTTCTGTTCATGTGCTATATGCTGTGCATAACAACCAGACATCACCTTGCCAACAAAGGTCCGAATAGTTAAAGCTATGGTTTTCCCAGTAGTAAGGTATGGAAGTGAGAGCTGGACCATAACGAAGGCTGATCGCCAAAGAATTGATGCTTTTGAATTATGGTGCTGGAGGAGACTCTTGAGAGTCCCATGGACTGCAAGAAGATCAAACATATCCATTCTTAAGGAAATCAGTCCTGAGTGCTCACTGGAAGGACAGATCATGAAGCTGAGGCTCCAATACTTTGGCCACCTCATGAGAAGAGAAGACTCCCTGGAAAAGACCCTGATGCTGGGAAAGATGGAGGGCACAAGGAGAAGGGGACGACAGAGGACAGAGGACAGAGGATGGTTGGACAGTGTTGTTGAAGCTACCAACATGAGTTTGACCAAACTGCGGGAGGCAGTGGAAGACAGGAGTGCCTGGCGTGCTCTGGTCCATGGGGTCACGAAGAGTCGGACACGACTAAATGACTAAACAACAACAACCAGAGATCTGGATGGATCCTTCTGAGCACTGCTGTGACTGGAGCAATGAGGATGTGTTTCTTCACCCTCCAAAACGGTGATTAAAAATTATTTACAGCTAACCAGAGTCCCCGCTTAATCGGAGTTTTCAGTTAGCTACAACTTCTGATTTCAAAAGCTGATTGAGGATTTCTCATTCCTATATCGTAGATAATTTAAAACACATGCAGTGCAAACATATACCTGTCTACTCAAAAAATTATTGAGATTTGTTGTGATTACAGGACTATGATCATAAACATTGTTAGGGTACTATAAAAGGGAAAGAGCAGGAGCAGAAGGGCCAGATGAAAAGAGAACAGGGCTGCTGGATGTATAACAGAATCACAGAGCTGGAAGGGACCCTGAAACCAACCCCGTACAATGAAGGAATATGTGACCTTGGCATTCTCAGCACCATTCTGTAACCAATTGAGCTAACTGGTAGTTGCATGACCATTTACACTAAATTGCATGTCAATGTACAACTATTAAAAGGTGCAAGAGGAGTGTTTCTGCTTTTTCACAGGTTCACCCCAGGTGGGAAAAGAAAGTTTACAGTTTCTGCAGTATGCTCCTGATTATAATCAGGGACATTATGCCGGCCTTGCACTGGCCCAGAGTGCATGATGAAATTACTGTTTATTTTCTGACTCTCATTAGGAACCTGGTATTTATTGTAATGTTCAACTGCTGCTACCTAATATTAAAAACCTCTAAGGATTAAAGTGGGAACCTGTGAAAAATGTGTAAAATACAAAGCTAAGAAGAGTGTGCCTAAATCTTTTGGAGCATCTCTAATTTTAGTAGCTTGCAGCCTGAATCCCTGAGTATGCAAGTTGGAGGCGAAGCAGGCCAAGCCTCAGTCAAGGATGCTGCTTGGCAGATATCTGTATCTGCTGCTGTACAGATGATGGGAAAGAGATGAAAGGTGCTGTTAAGTTGTGGGTGAACATATCAGACGACACAGCAATTCTTCAAACAGCTCTTGTTTATTCACAGGCCAGGACAGAACTGAACTGAAGGGTTCAGTCAGCCTGCTTATATAGAGCTCCAGTACAATGTAACTGTAACAATTTTCTAAAAACTATCCCAGTGTTTCCCAACCGGTGTTCCGCGGCACACTAGTGTGCCGCGAGACGTTGCCTGGTGTGCCGCGGGAAAAATTAAAAAATTCGAAAGATATCCGGAGAGGCGGCCTTCAGGCGAGTTTTAATTTTAATTTTCCTTCTCCCACTTAATGCCCCACGCTCGCCCGAGCAGCTTGCAGTCCTCGGTAACCACGGCGACCCGAGGGAGGGGAGGGAACAGGGAAGTCGAGGGCGGCGGCGAGCCGCGATGACGTCAGTGGGCCACGCCGCCTCGCCCTGGCACGGTGTGAGAGCCCCGGCTAGTGGCTCGAGCTTCGGAATAAGTGGGATCCGCGTGCGCGAGACCGAGATCGCGGGTAAGGAGCTCAGCCCTGGGCAGGAGGAAGCGGGGCCGCGCGTGCGGGCCACATCCCCACAGAGAGCGAGCCTCCCCCGGCCCACCACTCCGGGCAGGTCCACTCGCATGAGGGGGCGGCGATGGCGACGGCTGGCAGCTTGCCTGCAATGCCATCCCTCGAGCAGGCGAGGAGCCCGGAGGCTACCAGATGCGAGTCCTCTTTCCCACCCTGCTCGGGAGTCCAGAGCACTTGGTCGCATTCAGGATCTAGAGTGGGGAAGCGGGGCTTGTGTCTGGGCTGGACACATTGGGCTGCCTGTGCCGCTCGACCTGCGGGGAGAAATCAGGGTGGGAGTCACGACCGTGAGGCAGGGCTGCCAAGTGTGGCAGAAGAGGACACGGCCGTCGCACCTGTCCTTAGGTAGGAGCTTCTTCCGTGTCGACCTGCTGCCCTAAAGTCTTGGCTTTTTTCTTGGCTTTTTGGCGGTTGGCACAGAAGGAAGGCAAGGGGGAGGGGGGAAAATTGAAACTTACACTTTCGTGCGTCCCTCCCGGCGTGACGCTGCGCGCTGACGTCACGGGGCTGTAATGGTGGTGTGCCTCGAGATTTTTTTCATGAAACAAGTGTGCCTTTGCCCAAAAAAGGTTGGGAAACACTGAACTATCCAATCACTGAACGTCACTTTCGATACCTTATTTGCATAACTATCTACAGTATCCCCCTGCTGGCCCAGGGTGAGAACTTCAGTACATAACAGGTGCCTTTTTCATTAGCTGAATTCCTAGAGCCCCCCATATATATATATATATATGTATAACCATTTAGGGCACTGCAGGCTGGTGAAAGGCCAATAGATGCTAAAGAGAACCAAACTCAGCAGCCACGAGACTCTGCCTGGATTAGAGAGAGAGAAAACAATTCTAGTGTTTTGTGACTAATCTGTATACTGAATCCTGGTAGCCCAGCCAGGACACTGATTTTCGTGACACATAATGTGTTACTTTTAAAGTGTGGGTAAAGAGAAGAGTCCACTCTGATAGTTTTTGCGGTGGTCCTGATTGTGTGCTTAACAAAAGTAATTAAGGCATATGGGGGGTAACTCATCCATATTAATTGATCTTGGTTGTGCATGTTCAGAGACTATTAAAAGCTGTTTCCGAAGCATGTTTGTGGCAAGATTTGTAAAAGTTTGGTGTGCAGATCCAGGATGACAAGCAAGCCTTGCACTTAAATAAAACTTATTATTTTTCTTTTTAGTTTTTTAAAGTAATGAATTACTTCTAAATATCATACACAACAAAATCATATCCTTGTGCTCCAGATTAATTCTTCCTCTTCCTCTTCTTTCCAGTCACATCAACTAAGCATGGTTTAGCATTCCTGCTTTCATTCATACAAATGAGCTTGACTATGAACCTGAATGGAGAGTATTAACACAAGTCTTTAAAATGTAAAAGAGAGGTAGAAGGAATACACAGACAAACAGGAACAGAATAAACAGAAACACAGAGAAGAATTTTGACAACAAGACCAAAAGACTAAAATTGGAACTACAACATTTGGGAAGTGGTATGTGCATCTAGGTTGAGAACCATAGCAGACCATCACATCATTCAAGGCTGATTAGCACGATGCATTCTAATGGAGGTGACAAATTGGACCCCCACCTGCTCAAAATCAAAACCCAAAGCAATGGCATTAGGCCTTACCAGTGGCCAAACCATGTGGTTCAGAGTTAATTTTATATAGTGTATCACATACACCCTCCCAGACATCTGGGATCATAACCACTTATCATTGTCCCTCTTCTCAAGCTTTCAAAGACTTTTGCTCCAGTAAGACAATAGACTTACTGCTAGCTAGTGACAGGTGACATCTAAAACAAAACATTCCCTTTCTCACTGCACACCCCCAATAAATAAAATTTATTACAGTGGTACCTTGGGTTAAGTACTTAATTCGTTCCGGAGGTCCGTTCTTAACCTGAAGCACCACTTTAGCTAATGGGGCCTCCCACTGCCAGAGCACGATTTCTGTTCTCATCCTGAAGCAAAGTTCTTAACCTCAGAACAGCATCTTGGACACTAACATCTTTGGAAAATGAAGCTTCCCAAGATTACAGAGTCCTTAATAACCAGTGCTAAGTTTGAGTGAGTAAGGGAATGACTGCAGCAGGGAGAGCTAATGCAAGAGCTGGCACAAAGCCTATGACAAACCAAACCTAAACTTCAGGGAGGGCTTGGGCTTGGCTGGTTATGAACGTGTGTGAAATACATGTGCCCAGGTAAGCATTCAGAAGTACAGTTCTCCTATCCATAATTTCAAATTGCACTGGGTTTTCTGAAACTGCCCTGAGCTTCAAAAAAACAAAACAAAACTCTCACTACAACAAACTATCATCCTAATTTGCTTTGAGTATAGTTCTGCAAAAATAAAACAGAAGATTGGTCCCATTATTCCACAGTAGTAGCTGCTACACTCTCTGAAGAGTAAATTTACAGATCATGAGACCCCAGGGAATGGGCGGCTAATTAAGGAGCAGATTTTTCAACCAGCTGTTCTCACAGAAAGAGGCAGACCTTTTTAAAATATCCAAGCTATAAAGGAACGATGCTGTAGTACGAGACCTCAGTGGTCACCCAGGAACATAATGCATGCTGAATGACACTGGTAATAACTGGTTGTGTCCATCAGGACATGATCTAGAGTTAACACAGCAAATATTCTCTCTCTCTCTGTATTCCTGTCCACAATAAATCATCACAAAAGACTTGCCATGCATATTTTTAATGGCACATATGGAGTATGCAGTGTTAATAATTACTTTACTAATGTTATCTTTCCTCCTTCAATCAACACCTCCACTAATTATTTTCTCCTCTTTAATGATCACTCACACATGTGTGATAATGTGATGAGAAAGTGTGGTCACTCTTTTAATAAGCTGCTAAAGTATCTGATGGTTGTGCACTGGAGTGCTGAGATGGCATATAAAGTGTTTCCACCCCCGACCAGCAGGTAATTTGGCCCTCTAAAACTTAGGTATGTAACACCTTTCACTCTCCTATGCTTTATCAGGCCCAGTTTCTACATGACCAAAACAGAGAGACAAACAAATTTCCTGCATGTGTTTCTCCAGCTGAGTTCACTGAAGGGACTTGATCCAAGCTGATCTTGCTTTCTGTATGCATCAGGTCTACTGCTCACTTCTAAGCTCCCCACATATTTTTGTATTCACTCTTAGTGGCATTTTATTGTGATTTTCATGTATTTGGTATAATCCAACACCAACAAGGCCTCACCTGCTGATTGTAGGCCCAAGGTGGTTGATACTGGGAAAGCCACTTTTGGGCAGTTGGGTTACAAGCTGTTTAGGCTTCTATACACTAGCACCTTGAATTTGGCCCAGTAGCTCACTGGCAACCAGTGCAGTGCTTTCTGGACAGGTGGCACATGGTCCTATCAGGCTGCCCCACATACCAGAAGAGCAGCTGCATTCAGCACTGCAGCAGCCTCCAAACCATCTTCAAGGGCAGCCCCACATGCAGCATATTACAGTAGTCCAGATGGGAGGTCACCACAGCATGGACAACCCAGCCCAGGCCATGCCAATCTTAGGAGGAGTTCTAGCTGTCTAATCAGCCTAAACTGGCCCTAAGTACTCCTGGCCATAAGTTGGAATCCATGAGTACTTCCAGACTATACGCCTGTTCACCCCCTCCCAGTAAAGGTTGCACATTTACTCCCCAGACATGGGAACTGCCCACCCACAGCACTTCCATCTTATCAGGATTCAGCCTCAGCTTACTAGCCTCCATCCAGCTCTTCCCTGCCTTCAGACCCCAGGCCAGCACCTTCATATAGCTGAAGCAAGAGAGTAGAACATCCCCATAGTCGGACTAAAAAGCTGTGCAGGTCAGAATCAGCCACTAGGCAGCTACTTGCCCAGCCCTGCTTTGATGATCTTGAAATACACTTCTTGATTTCATATTTAATTAGTAGAGCTACAAAATAAGCTGGTAGCGATTTTCTGAAATTGGCTTGGTAATAACTTGGCAGCAAGACATAGCTTAAGCAATATCCCGTGTCTTGCATGTGTGCTGTTATACAAAGCCAAAGACAGGATGACAAAGCAACCCATGACTGTAATAAAGCTCCCAGAACCATAATTTGGTGATTGCTTTAATTACAATTATGAGACAGAAATTATACAGAAATTAAAATAAAATAGATTGCGCACATACACTTATTGGAGGCATAATGTGGCATAGAACTCAAATCAACTAGAAAATCTAAATCCAAGAATACACAAAAGAGTCCTTATGTATGCATTTCTCTTTCTGTCTCGTATTTAAATGAAACAATTAAATTCTGCAAGTTTCCCCCCTCTAAGTGCATACTGAATTGTTCTAAGATAGCTAAAAGGATCATATTTATCATGATGGTTTAAATGGGATTGTAACTTTGTACAACATAATGAACCAAACATATAAATTTGGCCAAGGCAAGCTGACTTGGTTTATTGCAATGTTGAAAGTCACAGGATTCCAGGAGCTGCAGGATTTATTTGGTTTCATTCATACTTTAACACCACAACTCTATATGTGTTTACTCACAAGTCTATCCCACTGTTTTCTGAGGGGTGGAACTGGATCCAAGAGATGGGTAAGATCTGGAAGATTGAGGGACCTTTCAAAGCAGATCAGAGGTGCTGCAAAGGAAATGTCAGATAGGGTAATCTGTGCCTGCTGGTGTGGTTTTGATCTTGTCCATTGATCATTTGCAAACCTTCTCAAAGTAGGTGAAGTGATGCCATGGTTTACATGGCCTGACCTCTGAGTTTGGTTTGCAGTGAAGGCATCCCATGAGTACCATGTTCATGCAGATAAATTCAACTCACACCCTTGCCAGGGCATTCCTTGTAGTACACCATTATGCAGATGCTTGAACTGCTTAGAATCTGTGAGGATTCTGTGAGGTTTTATTTGAGACTTCCAACTCTTTGGTTCTGTTGAAGGGAGTGTTTGGTAGACGTTCCATTGAAAGCCTTCAAGACCTGCAGCTCTATGACTGGTGCACAAACTACCTTATTTCTTCTTGCCCAATGTCCTTTTTTCTCCACAGGAGCTTTCTGTGGTCTGCATTTATTCTGTGCTTCCTCATAGCAATTTGTTAAATGGTTTTAGTTATGGATGCTTTTTAAGATCAAAATCTTTCTCTCCCTGCCTTTTTTCTTCTTCTTCTTTAAGGAAGCTTGCAAGTCCGATACAGACTGAGTAAGGACAGATCCCTTATATTCACTATTGATTCTGGAAACTTTGCTAACCGAGAGCTACACCATGTGAAGCTAAATAGAGATGGAAGAGAGCTGACTATTCAGGTATCCAAATTTGCCCACCATATTTTACAACCCACTATCTCCCTGCAGTTTCACTGTCTTCAGTGGGGAAAGGAGGAGCATAATTGATGGCAATCTGTCCGTGTTTCTAAAAAGGTCAAATTCTCAACATTAAGTCTCATCATTCTGTTACACTATAGCATGAACAGGAGAGATTTTGTTGTTGTTTCTCTGTTTGTTTGTTCCATTCATTCATACCCCAACTTTCTTCTGTGGGAACCAAGACAGTGTAGATAGGGTCCTAGGGTTTCCCACACAGACACTGACTTAAAAGATTCAGCAAAGTTGCTTCAGCATGTGTAGGGTGGTCACCTGGACTACAGGACAGGTGGCAGTGACATGAGAGAGGGGTTGGGAGCCCCCGTGCAGGGTGGGTGGGGTGGGGGGGAACCTGAAGAGGGCTACTGTCAATCATTCCAACATTTGTAAGGGCAAATCCTGCCCCTCCCTAAGATAATGGGTGACCTGGTCACCACCAACATGTATCCTGTGGAAGAGAGGCTAACTGCACCTCCTCCCTCTCCTAATGAGAGCTCCAGTACATTCCCTCACCTTCTAAAATAAAAAGGTTGAGAGCAGATGGCAAGGACCTCTTTGAAGAAGGCCAAGCCTCTCTCTTGCTGTGTATGAGGCAATAGCATCGGTGATGGAATGGAGGTTGAAGATGGAGAGAAAGGAAAGTGGAGTTGGGGGAAGGATTGCAACTTTCTTTCTTTCTCTTTTCCTCCCTCACCTGTCAAACTTGATACATTAAACGTGTTTTCCAGCTTCTTCATAAGAAGAAATGGACATGATTTGAAGTCTAACTAAGGCAAGGACTACTGAGCTCTTGCCCAAGTTTGAGCAGGACTACATTGTGCATGACTTGATTACAGATACAGGAGAGACCCAAAAGAAGGTCAAACAAAACATCCAGGAAGAAACAAACACCCCATATCATGGATCAGTGTAGATAGATGCACCCAAATATAGGAAAGGTAGGAACAATTAGCTTCATGGCTCATTTAAATCCTACAGAAGTTGTGGGCAGAGTAGGGAAATCAGAAACGAGTTTACCCCTCTGATGAGCCATTCCTACCTCTGTAAGAAGGTTCACATTGCATTTGAAGAATCCTGGGCTCAGAGAATAAGCACAATTCAATAGATATGGGTTCTGTTCAGATTTGTGCTAAGAACTTTTGAACACACTTCCTCAAAATACAATGCTTGTGCTTTAGTTCCCTTAATTGCAAATTAGAGAATTTGTAATTAGCAAAACTAATTGTGAGCTGTTGTTATAATGATTCCTTGTTTGGATATAAACAAAAGGGAAGACTGATGAACTGTAATGAAGATCTGAATTCTGACACAATATGTATTGTGTATTTCTTTATTTTCTTGTATATATGGGCTGCTGTTCCATGAAACATTCATTGTGGTGTATGGTGTAGAAATACCATACTATAAAATAACCATTTTTAAAAAAACATCAAGTAGTTTAGCACTCCAGATTAAATCCAGCCACGAGACAGCTGATCTGCAGCTTCTCAAAGCCACCTGGCAAATGAATTATAAAATGCCAGGTAGAGGGAAGTCCTATGAGCCAGTGAGCTGCCCTTAAAGTCTTGTTCTTGTCAAAAATTTGGAAAGTTTGCTTCAGAGGAACCCGTGTTGGGTTGATCCAGTTTTGCTGTTTATAAAATCATATTATTGGCACTAGAAAGAAAACCTTTTGAAGATTTTTGAGTCAAGCTCCACATTCTCATCCATCTCACCACTGGGCTCATACCAGTGTAAACAAAGTTAATGTTATACACTAGATGGGCCAGCTTTTTTTCTGAACTTACAGACAAAGCTTCATGTCACATTTCAATCTTATATCCACTGTTATACCTTTCCCCCAATGGGGCTAAAGCTGGGTGAGAAACATCTACCCAAAATGCTTTTTGTTGTTCTCGTTGCAATCAGAGATTAATCATTCTGAGTTCTCTGTGGGGGTCAAACCACTTGTCAGATATTATACACAGATTCCCGCAGGGAAGTTCTCTTGAGAACCCTGCTGTAACGACACCTTGTCATGCCTTTTAGCTTTTCCTGTAGAATTAAGGTGCATTTATTTTGCTGTCCATGGAAACTGATGCCCAGCAGAGACAGATATTACTTGTGTTCCGGCAGCAGAGCTAGTGCTATAGATTCATCAGAGGTCTCTCTGTGTGCTGTAATAATGGAATCACTTTTATTGATCCCCTCCCTTTCAGATTGACCAGGTTCTCAAAGTCAAGCACAACTTTTCCTCGGAGGCTGATTTCAGAGCCATCAAATCTCTGACCTTGGGGAAAGTCACAGGTAGGCACCACAGATGGCTTTCTGATTTGTCAGTGGTTACACTGTGCATGCAAAGTGTATTGTTTGGGGTAACACGTGGCCTTGCCCTATTTTCAGCCTGTCTCTTGTAGCTGAGCTGTGCTTAGCAGAGATGCTGCTTACATCTCAGAGATGTCTAGCAATGAGAGCTAAATACAGGACCCCTTGCTGAGCGATGAGACACTGTTTTGTCTGAGCCAAGTATTAGCAAAAATAACACAGGCTCAGAGATGTTGCTGTGAAAGAGGAAAAAACAACCTCATAAAAAGGTGTTGGGTGGTGATTAGGGATGATAGCATACAAGGAAGCTGCTTGGGGAAGGGCCAGGAAAACATGAGGGGTCTTTTGGGCAGCAGACCTGTGTCTATATTGGGGGAAGTCACTCACTGGCATACAAACTGGGAAACAGGGACTCAGCTATACAGCTGCAAACAAAATGTTTAAAGTGCAATATATACAATGTGACACTAGATGGTGATGGTGAGCCTAATAGAAAATTCAATGTATTTTTTTAAAAAACGCTTAAAAAAAGCATTTTCAGAATGTTTTTTATATGGGTGTAGATTCCACCCAGGTTGCAAGACAAGCCGTGTGTGTGTGTGTGTGTGTGTGTGTGTTAGGATTCTTGCCCCGTGCTTGCAGTCATGGGATTGCTTTTTATCACATGACGGTGTATGTTTTCATTCCACATAGTGGGAAGTGACAGAGACAGGATGTTTGTATGACTGTGCTTCCGTGATGTAGGGCGTTTGTCCCTTTGTTCTTTCTCTTTGCTGTTTGATGCTGAAGAGGAAGGAGCTGAGTCAAGATGCTCTGAGTGTATTATATGTAAGTAAATGTAGTTTAGCCAAAAAGTTGTGCTACTGAGTATGTCACGTGAACTGTCAATACTCTGCAGAATCCTTAAGTCTGCTGATGCTTCTTGCTATCAGTCGCTGTGATGTTCGGGCTGAAGAAAGCTTTGAAGCTCCTGAACAACCATCCAGGAGGGAAAGAACATGCCAGCCAGGCATGTGTCTCTGCCAGGTTCCTACTCGTGTGTAGGATGTTGACAATTTATGGATATATATATATATATGCAAAAACAACAAGATTAGAGCAATCCTTTAGAGAACTGCAGCCTAACAGATGTATTTAGGCATAAGTTTATGTGGGCTAGCCCATACTTTGGCATGTTACAAATGTGAACCTGGACTCACATGTGTGCATCCAGCAGTCATGTATGTTCATATGCACACTGCTAAGAGATTTAGCATATTTTGCTGGAACTATGACGTGCACTTCTTATGCATACATCTAGTTTATCTTTCAGAGAAAGGTGTTAGGTTTCCTTGAGGCTAGACTGAGGTTAACTGTGAAATACTATATAGAACTACAGTGATAAAGTCACTCCCACCCCTTCCCCATGTTTTCAACATTCTGTGCTATAAATTGTCAAATGAGTTCATGGAACTGCCTTGAAAGTGAACTGGTCCAACAGCTGTGGCACATCCTTGCTTCAGTGAAGCTGCACAGGATGTGTATCGTGTTCAGTAATGCCCTTAATCCATTGCTATGTGTCCTGTGACCTTTAAAGAAGTGCAAGAATTAAATCCATAGTTTGCCAATCTTCTTGGGCTTACAGATCCTCTTGGGAAGTTGTGATTATTGCTAATTTTAGAACAGACAAATAATGATTGCAAAAACACTCTTTTAAAATGCCGACAGAATTGCAGGTTACATTGCTGCATCAGAAGGGCTCCAGTTCTATTTTTGTATTTGATTCTATCCATTTTTATTCTTTAGGACGCAATAATGTTTTGTGCAAATTATCTATCTGTCTCTGTATAACCATTCATCTCTACCCTTGGAGCCACCTTTGCACATCTCCTCTTGGATTTCTGTTAGCCATTCATTCATTTTATTAATGATTGCATTCATAAAACGCCTTTCTTCTCATGGAATTCAAGGTGGCATATGTTGTACTCCACCTCCACCCTACACATAACAACCATTTGAGGTAGGTAAGGCTACAGGACGCGGGTGGCGCTGTGGGTAAAACCTCAGCACCTAGGACTTGCCAATCACATGGTCGGCGGTTTGAATCCACACGGCGGGGTGAGCTCCCGTCATTCGGTCCCAGCTCCTGCCCACCTAGCAGTTCGAAAGCACCCTTAAGTGCAAGTAGATAAATAGGTACCGCTTACCAGCGGGAAGGTAAACGGTGTTTCCGTGTGCAGCTCTGGCTCGCCAGATGCAGCTTGTCACGCTGGCCACGTGACCCGGAAGTGTCTCCGGACAGCGCTGGCCCCTGGCCTCTTGAGTGAGATGGGCGCACAACCCTAGAGTCTGTCAAGACTGGCCCGTACAGGCAGGGGTACCTTTACCTTTACCTTTAAGGCTGAGAGAAGGGACTGGTCCAAGGCCATCCAGTCAGCCTTGTGGTTTGGAACCATTGTAGTCTGACACTTAGTCCTCTGCAGCATGCTGGCTCAAATTAAGATGCTTCTGAAATTCCTTTTCCTCTAAATTCCACCTTGGATCTGGGGTCTCTAAATTATCTGAGCCTGGTCACAGATCCACAGTGATGGGTTCCATTTTCACCATTCCTTCAGTCTGGATTTCCAAGAATACAGCTTGATCTCTTCTGTCATTAATTTCTGTCCATTTCCTCCTGATTTTGCAGGTAAGCCAAGCACATAAGCCATTGTGCACATTAAAATGCACTCTCTCACACTTTGTGCATTAAAGGTTAATTCATGTAAGGTAAAATAGATCACATGGACAGTGAAGAAGTTAATGCTAGAAAAGGATGGCTGGTTTCATATTTTGACCCTGACCAGGGCCGTCTTACCCATAGGCGCTAGGGGAGCGGGGCACCTGGGTGCTGGGCTCTCAGGGTTGCCAGGCCGAGAGTCCGGGGCCGAGATTTGGAGTTTGGGGATTGGGAAGAACCGACAGCCGCTGCCGGGCAGAGCAGAGCAGAGCCCGTTGGAGCACCTCAGCTCTTCTGCTGTAGGCGATCGAGGTGCTGAGGCAGCCGGCCGGCTCCGCCCTCTTGCGCGCCTGGGATTGGTGGGCTGTCGAGAGGCCCAGTGAGTGCATGCTGCTCACACAAGGCACCCGGCTTTGCTCAGTCACCGCCAGCACCACCTTGGGCTCAACTGTTGTTGTGCTGGGCTCTGCTTGCCCCTCCCCAGGTGCCTGGTTCCGGCCTTTCTCTGCTTCTGCTGCCGCCACCTCAGACTCCTCCACTGTGGCTGAGGTGGCCGGCTAGGCCAGCTCTGCTATGCATGCCTTTGCTGGCCCGCCCTTAAAAAAGGTCAACAACTTTGGGCAACCTCGGGGGGGGGGTGTCAGTCGGATCTTTGCACCCCGGCGCTGCACATGCTTAAGACGCCCCTGACCCTGACTGCAGAAAGCTAGCTATTCTGTTCCAGTAAGGAACACAAGGCCATCCCATGTGATTTCCATATCTTTAAACATGTAAAAGAATGATAAAATTTCCACACAGTTTCCCACACTTCTGTTTAATCATGCAATTACGTGCACGATGCACCACCATTTCTTTTAGTTAAAGCACTTGATAGATTAGCTGGAGGCTCCATTAAGCTGAAGTTAACAGGCAGGCATTGTTCAGTGCTTTAAAATCTATAGCCACTCTTGGATGCACATTCAAGATGTGGCTCTACTTATCTGGATTGGGGTGAAACTTATGAAACCGGCCTGGCTTTTTCCTCAAATTAATTACATTCCTTCCGGGCAATCTGTTTTCCCTTCGTTTGCATTTCTCATCTGGGAATTTTTAAGGACGGTAAAAGAGCTTAGTTTTAAACTACTGTGCTTTCCATTCAATAATAAAGGGGTGGTTTTTAATGTGCACGGTCAGTCATGTGCATAGCTTACCTGCAAGGGAAAGGTTCACTGAATGAATAGAAGCTTATTTTGAAATCAATTACAGAAATTCTCATGAAGAAAATCAGAGAATGGATGGAATGGAACACAAGCCACTGCCAAACTGTGAAAGACTTAAGAAAATAAGCTAGGGAAAAATCTGTCCACCCTAGCTAGAATAAAATAAAACAACCCTAATCACAGATATTTCTCCGGTAGCTGTTTAAGCATGACCTAAAATCTCCAAAATAACAGTATTGATGAAATAACAGATTTTGAAATTACAGAGCTGAGTTCCTACAGAAGCACTTTCCTTATTCAAAAGACCATGTGTTGATTTCTGAATTGCTGTCATTGCAATTCAGCGACTGCCCTTGGTTGTGATCTCACATCCCTACACTCTCATTAAATGGATGATGGTTTGAAGTACACCTGTGATCCCAAGAAGAGCTAAAGAACACATCATGTTTATTTCCTATAATATTCCTTATTAACATTTTTTTCTGTTTCCCATTGCATATTCTAATGGTACAGTTTGTGGTTTTGGCTTTTCAGAGTTTGGGTGGCTGACTTTAGTGAAGAAATTGAAAGGAGCTGTAAAGTTTTCTAAATTCATGGAACATTTTACATTCTATCCCCTGACCCCCAATAATCTTAACCTCATCCCAAGCACTGAAGCACATGATCAGCAAATTTGCACGATGTACCGTATCTGCTACTGTACTATACCACTTCAGACCTCAGATGGAGTGTTACATATCAAATGTTTACACACATATATACAAACATAACCCATGCAGTTCCAACATAGTCTTCCTAATATCCTTTTTTGCTTGGAAGCATGTCATTGTACAGGTATCAATTTTCTAATCTTACCTAATCTTGACCTTATAAATTCAAAAGTAGTTCTGTTTTCTCTAAAGATCTCTTTCCCTTTTCTATCTATGTATGACCTCAAGTATGCTCTGTCTTTAAAAAGCTGAGCTGTTAAATGCTTGTTAGTGCTTAAAGCATTCTGGCTTCTTGTTTTCAAACTATCTCATGCCCATGTTTGCAGGGCTCTCTAAGCTGTGGATTCAAGGAATTGTTTTGTTGTGTTTGAACATTCT